CTTCATCATTTGGATGACAACAGCGCAGGAAATAGGTGAAAACTCCGTGGAGGGCATCGGCATGCAGGATCCTGTGCAGCCTTTCCTGCACACCACTGCTGCTGCCTTCTGCATGTGGTACATGTGTCTGCTTCCATTTTTTTTCCAGAGTATGCTCTTTGGATTTCCTGTTAGGGTTGAGAGAATTAGCACTTCAATTTTCAGGGCAAGGGCAGGCAGATGGGGCAAACAACTATTTGGACTTTCTAATAATTTCTTTTCTTTCATTTTCCTGTGACGCATCTGGCTTCCCAAATAGCTGGTATATCCATTTATTATGCCCTCCTGCAGCTCTGAAGGAAAAAAAGGGAGGGGCTGTCTGTTTTGTGTTTTGAACGTAAAATGTCTCCTGTAGGCTCATGTATTTGAACACTTGATCCCCAGCTGCTGATGGCTTTTGGGGAGGTCATGGAACCTTTAGAACAGTGGTTCTCAACTTGTGGGTCATGATGCCCCTTTCACAGGGGTCAGATACCAGTTATCCTGCATGTCAGATATTTGCATTTCGATTCATAACAGTAGTGAAATTACAGTTATGAAGTAGCAGAGAGATAATGTTATGGTTGAGAGTCACTGTATTAAAGGGTCAGGGCATAGGAAGGGTGAGAATCACTGCTTTAGAAAGTGGAGTTTCGCTGAAGGAGGTGAGCAGTTGGGGGCGAGCCTTGAGGTTTCATGGCCTGCCCCTTCTTTGTTCTCTCTACAAGAGTTCGCTCCAGAGTGTCTCTTCGTGACTGTGAATGCAATGTGACAGCCGGGTTCCTGCTCGAGCCACTTTACCTTCTCATCAGGGAGGAATGGGTCCCCTTGAACTGTAAGCCTCAGTAAACTCTTCCTCCTTTCAAGGGCGCCTTGTCAGGTGCTTTGTCACATCAAAGAGAAGAGAAACTGATGTACTCTGCTCTGACCTCGGTCGGTCTCTTGCCCTGCTTGTCCATTCTCTTCTCATATTACTTTACCTTTGTTTCCTTATCAGTTTGACTTGCAGATTTCCCTCTGTGAGTGGTGATGTCTCTTGGGTCAAGTCTCTTTTTGCATGTATCTTTACTTCTTACATGTATGGGTGCTCTGCCTGCATGCATGTGCCTCAGAGGCCACAAGAGTGAACTGAATCCTTTGGAACTGGAGTTACAGGTGATATTTGCCCATCGTTTGGTCTTTCTGTGTTGGATGCTACTTTTATCACCCCCTCCTCCATCACCCACCACTTTGCTTGCAACTCCAAACTGGAAAGAAGTTTGCTTCTGGGTTTTGATGGTCCTGCTCTTCTACTTTTCAATACTGGCTCCTGAGAAATCCAAGGGCATCTGGATTTTAGTTCTTAAAGGAGATTTTGGTTATGTGAGAACTTGGCAGAACATCTCAAAATTATTTGGCAGAACATGTTATCTTCAGGGTACAGGGTGTCAGGTTCCAGAAGACATGATCATAGGAATGGACTTGTTTTGACCTTGTAACAACATGGCCTTTACTCTTAAGATGGAGTCAGGCTGGTCCATCACAGCCAGTGCTCTTAACCGCTCTGACTTCTCCCCAAACCCAACATCTCTTGACTTTTGAAAATAGATTGTTTTATTTTGCTTTGTTTTAGGAGTAATCTTTTAAAGAAAATACTTAGAAGTACAAACATCTTTACTCCATCATCTGACATGAAAGTTTATCTTAGGGTGAAGTGAGGTCCTCCAGGTCTAATATATGTTGAAACCTAAACCCAACCATTTAACAATGGGACCTGATATGGAGATAGCAGCTTCACAAGGGTCATCAATATGAAATTCAACATGAAACTAAGAGAACAACATGTAGAAGGAAATGGTGGGAAGAGACAGGGTTAATATGACTCCTATAAGCCAGACAGGAGGCACAGGGAGACAGGGGATGGCTATGACCCTGTAAGCCAGACAGTAGGGATTCAATAGATTAATCCCTTCCTCAAGGTTGTCAGGAGTAACCTTGATTTTGGAATTATCGTGTCTAGAACCATGAGACAGCAGATTTTCGTACTCTGAGTCACCTATCTGCACTGGTCTGGCATGGTACCACTAGGAAACTCTTTAAAAAACATTGTTTTTTTTTAATTTAATTGTTTTCATGAAGTATGTTTGATCATGTTTTACCCATCCCAACACCTCCCAGTTCCTCCCATCCTCCCACCTTACTACCTACCTGACTTTGAGCCCCCCCCATGTCTGTCTGTCTGTCTGTCTCTCTCTCAAAAAAAACCCAGCAACCATTCTATAAAAGGAAATCAAAACAAACAAAAAAGCCAACAAGACAAAAACATTTGTTGAAATGAAATAAACCTCCACAAAAATGCCCCCTTGAAGTTCATTTGTGCTGAGGACTGGCCTGAAGTGTAGTTAATACACCCTGTGACACTCTGTAGGAGAAATTGGATTTTCCCCTCCCAGCAGGTGTCAGTTGCAAACGGCTTCCTGGTTAGAGCAGACCTGGGGTCCACATCCAATTCCCTGTGCTTGGATTGTGTCTGGTTTGACTCTGGGCATGTCTCCTGCATGCTGTCCCAGTCTCTGTGAGTTCATATGTGAACCAGTCCTGCTGTGTCTGGCTGACACTCTTTCCATGGAGTCTTTTACCACCTTACAATCTTTCTGTTTCCTTTTCCATGAGCCTTTAAGTGTCAGGCTTTGACGAAGACATCCCATGTAGAACTGAATCTCAGCTAAAACAGTGTGATTTCTCATTTGTTCATAAGATGTTATTCTCCTTTCTTTTCTTTAGTCTTTTTTTGCTGAATCTCTTTTTAAAATAAAAACTTAACATAATTTCTTTATTGGTTCTTTGGAAATTTCATATCATCCACCAAACAAAAACAAAAGAACAACCAATAAATCAAATAAACAAAACAAGAACAAACCAAACCAAAAATAATAACAACACAAAGCACCCCAAACCACTTCCCTTTTCCTTCTTTCCTGCCTCTCTAACACCTCTTCATTTGTCCTGATGGCATTGGGAGCGGTGTGTCACACAGTGTACCCTTTCGTCCAACCAGCTTTACTTGCAAATGTTCATTGCAATGAGTCACTGGCCTGGTATGCCATCATCATTGGGTCCTCACTGAAAATCCTCTGTGATATCCCGTGGCTGCCCCGAGTCAGAGATCCTGCCAGTATCATTCCAGAGGGCCAGCGCCTTCACAAACGAGCTCCAGCAGGCCCTAGATGGGACAGATGTTAGGGTGTGCCTAGCTGAGGTCCTGGGTGGTAGCTGAGCTGGTCAGTCTAGGCCACTGGGGCCACCCACCTGAGGTGAGGGGGTGGAGTCAGCTCCCCTATGCCCATGCCCTCAGGGTGTCACCTGTTGTGAGCGGTGGAACCATCTCTCCCAAGTGCAGGGCCAGCCGGCTCTCCTCTGAGGGTCAGGCCCAGTTTTCTTGCCGCAGTGTCTAATGGGAGGCAGAGCCATCTGTAGCAGCCTGGGCTAGTGAAGGGCATGCTGGCTCAGCATGTCTCTCCGATTTCATCGTGCATGGTTCTTATGGCCATGGTGACACAGGCCACACACATCAACACTGACCCCCGCTAAACTGAACCACAGACCCAGACATGGCCCTAGGCAGCACCTCCCGCCCAGATGACAGCCTGTCTCCGGGTGGGAGCACTGACCACTCAGATCAAAATGGTTCTGTCAGTAGCATGATCCCTCAACCACCACCAAAGCCACAGGTTGCTGCCCTAACCCTGGGCTTCTGTGTGGCCTTTGGTGGCAATATGGGACTTGGACTTCAGCACAGATCCCAGCTGTGGTAGGATCACAGGCAGATGTAGACATAGTCCTCAGCAGTAGCCAGATCTGAATGTCACCCTTGCTCCAGGTGGCAGTACAGGCCACTCAGATCATCACAGTCCCAGCAGTGGCATGGCCTTTGGACACCAACATGGCCCCAGACCTCTGATGTCTGCACGGCCTTCCATAGTAACGGGAGTCTTGGCATCAGCACAGAACCTGTCTGCAATAGGGCTATGGACACAGATATGACCTTTGGTTGTAACAGGAGCCACGGATGTCAACTCAGTTCCTGGAGGCTGCAGGGCCACAGGCCCAGACATGGCCTTCAGCAGCAGGCTGGGCCTGGACAACACTAGGGCCCTAAGTGGCAGCACATGCCTCCCAGATCAGCATGACTTTGGTGGTGGTACAGCCCTTTGACACAAACAAGGCCACAGGTTATGGCCTAGACCCCAGGCTTCTGTGTGGCCTTTGGTAACAACATGGGCTACATACTTCAACACAGACCCCTGCTGCGGTAGGACTATGGATCCAGACATTGTCCTCAACAGTAGCCTCTGTCTGGGTATCACCATGGCCTCAGGTGAAGGTCACTCAGATAGGCATGGCCCTAGTGACAGTATAGCCATTGGATACCAACATTGCCCCCAGGTGGTGGCCCAGACCCCTGGAATCAGCAATGACAACAGAAGTCACAGACATCAGAGATGGCTCAGCCATTAATGGCTAGGCTCATAATGAAAAATATTCTCCTTTATTAATCTGTTTCCTATTCACTCTTTCATACACAGCTTGGCATCACCCAGTTGGAGAAGGCGCCTTTGACCCTTTTGATTAAATGTCATCTTTCCTAGCTTCATCTTTTAGGACAGTTATCATGCATTGGTACTGTAAGCATTGTCTCTCTGACTTCCATACATGGTTATAAAAGTCTGAAGTTTGAAGTTTGGGATCTTGTTTTGACACAACACTTGCACATAGGAGGCACAGGTATTGCTGATGAACGAATGCATTATAAATACAGCTTTGAGAAAAATGGATCACAGTGTGCTTGGTTTAATGACAAAACTTCAGTGTCAATTATTAAGCCAAGTGAATATTTAATGCTACAAAAATTACATGAATGCAGTGATTTAGACTTGTCTAGTATAAAGAACTAAGAAAAAAAAGAAAATAAAACATATTTTCTCCTGTATGCTTTTGAACAGAAACTTCCAGTCCTGCCTAGAGATTCAAGTTGGGTAAGTATGAATTAGGGTTGCATGTGTCTTTGATTTCTCCATAGCTAAGGTACCATGTCACACCTCAGTTATTATAGCCTTTTATATGGCACACATATGCACAATAAGCATCTTGTGTCTCAACTGAAAAATAAGACTCATATTCTGGTAAAGAACAATGTGATAAACTTATGAAGAAAGTAGTCAAGTTGAATTCATGTTCCTTGTTCAAGCCATAATATTTATTCTCAGTCTCCCTTGCTCCCTGGGCCTGATGTAGAGTGTTTGTGATTAAGATTAGCTTTCTCTAATGAAAGTGGAAAAGTGCATGAGAGAGCCACTACCCACCCACTGTGGCTTATCACAACTCCACCATCTGGGGATAGAGACAAGTGCAAGTCATGGTGTGTAGGCTGCTTGTGTGATGAGGCAGGCTATGGATGCATGAGACATTTCTGAGCACACAGAGCTCCCCTAGTCTTCTCCCTGACACTTCTGTATAGTGTGATTCTGAAAGCTTCTCTCCATCCCTGGAGAGTGGTTCTTGCTGGTAGATGGTGGGAGATGGATTTCTATAGTTATTAGAGTGGAGGGATGATCTAAGACATACTTGAGAAAGATTATAGTATGGGGAGAGGGGAAGCCAGCCTACATGCACCAGCTGGATTACTAGTCCAGAGAATGAGGCCTGAAATATGAGGCTTTCTCACACTCTGCAGCCGGGAGTTTCATGAGACTCATGGAATTTCTGGAGCACTAGGTTATTAGGTTGTGCTTTCTGCCTTTTGGAGGCTGGGACTGCAAGTTTTAGTGTGAAGTAGAAAAATTACCTGGCACTTACACAGAATATAGATAGCCTGGGCTCATGATGGGGTTTACGCCCAAATAAACAGGTCGTAATTTGAAAATATTGCAAGTCAGAATATATGTAATGTATCTAGCCCAGGGACACTGGCTTAGCATCATCGCAGGCTACAGGGTGTCAGTCGTTTCTCCTCCTGATTGCATGGCTGACAGACTGTGTGGCTTGCTCCCACTGCCAAGCATCCAGAGCTAATGTGTTACTACATATCACCAGCCTGTGAGAAGATCAGAACTGCATACACACCATTTTTGTACAACCATAAAGTTGAAAAAAAAAACCTCTCACAAGTGAACCATCATAAGTCAGAGACCATTACTACTTGAAATCTCATACATTTCACAATAGTTGGTCCATAGTCCACTGTGTTGGGCTATGATGGTGAGTTGGAAAGACAGCAGGACATCCTCTCCAAAAACTGCTACGGTCCAGAAAAGTCTTTTCATCTCCTCCTCTCAGGAACAGAACTGTGTTTTAGGTACCGATAAAAGCTCAGAAAGAAATACATCTTTGCAGCTACACGTTATCAATGACCAATTGACAGAGTTTAGGAGGGTGTCACAAATGAGCAGTGCCTATGGCAGCGATTCTAAAGCCAGCGCCATTACTGCTTGTCTGTGAGAGGGACCACTCAGCAGGTTGGAATAATCTTGAAAATATCTTTAGCTTTCCACCAGAAGGGATGAATTATGTCGGTTATCTCTGAGGAGAAATTTTACAGCTTAATTAAACAAACATTTAAATCATCCTTTAAAATGTGCTGGATGATTGTGCTTACACTGGCCTTCTTTTTAGATATCCCAAGGGATGTCTTCAGATGCATGCATAAATCACTCAATAAGCAAGTGTGTATGGAAAGCTTAGTATACGCTTCCCATGGAGCAGAGTTATTAGCAACAGTCCCTTGGTAGGAAGATGGATGCGCTGAGTTGATGCTGCCCTGCTTGTACCTTTATAGGCCAGTAGCCAAACATACAAGGATTCTCTGTGGAATGGAGACAACCAAAACTTGCAAAAGACGGGGGATGGACAACATCAGAAGGTATCTACAAGGCCTTCCTTGTTATTGCAGATTGCTTCAGGTGCTGGGTGGGTGCTCTTGAAGGCATGGTGCGCAAAAATGTTTAGATTCTTAAAATGATTTTGGAAAAACTGACAGCACATTGTTCTATGGAGGTGGCTCCTCCCAGCCAAAACTTCTATGTGCGTAGCCCTACAGTGGGTTGCAACTGAGTTGGTCGCAGTTGGTGCTGTCAATTCACAGAGAAGATGAAAACACACATATGAACACAAAACACAACCAACCCATATATTAGCCAAGGATAGGTGACGTTACCAATGGCTTTATGTAACTGGTGTTAAATGTCGGTACACACGTGTGTGCAAATGCAAAGCATTCTACATAGTTGGAGCAACAGAAATCAGTGAGGCGAATGCAGAACCTCCTAACTTCTTACTGGCTGGATTTTACCACTGCAAGTTTCTAGTCTTGGAGCTACAACCATTCAGGGTTGTGATCTGATGGCCACACATCCTTTTGATAGGCAGGCTCTGATAGTGGAGCATAAAGTCAGTTAAAAGGAGGCAGAGGAGTAAAGCATTGAGCTTTTAATTTGATAAGCATTCAGGACAGTGTGGTAACCAGTGCTGCAGGGAAACATGCAAAGTTAAGAACTGCAGTGTGGTTCATCATAGTGCTGGCTGCCTACTCTTGTGCTACATTCCTGGTTTGTCTAGGGGATTCCACTCTATTTTGTGTGGCCTGTGTGCCAGGAAATGAAGGGGCTAGGCCAGGCCAAGGGTCCAACCCTAGTTCATCTCACTGTCCAGGGGGGTTTCCATTCTCCTTGGTTGTAATTGGTGGAAATGAATGTAGGATGTGGATTTGGGCAATGAGACTAAGGGAGGTTGCCTTTCAGTGTAGACGGTTAATCGATTTGAAATAGTATGTTCTTCTCATTAGTTATCTTTCGCTTTCTGTATTTTATCTAATATTTCCTGTACCTCATTGTTCTTAGCATTTATGTGGCATTTTCCTAGCACTTAGTTTTTACCCCTCTGTGTCACTGGTTTAAAATATACATCCAGTGATAAAAGTGGCTGGTTTTCTCCCACTGTTTCGTGGTCTCTCTCTTTTCATTTGTGGTTGGATATGTTCTTGTTTTCTCTTGTTGGTAGTTCATTTGCACATATTTGTACTCTCGCCATGTAACTGACATTTCATTCATAGTATTTTCTTTATTTTTATGATCTCTGGTTGCATTTTCTCTGTTGTGTTTATTAATCATTTCTCTCCCCTCCCCTCCCATATTATGAGAAGATTTACAGTGTTTCTATTTCTGTTTTTAATCTTGCTGCACTGCCTCTGCTTGTCTCTTCAGATCTGAAAATGCATGCATCTCTCTGGCTTTCTATCTATGCTTATTCCCCTGTTCCGGTGCTGCTCACCTTCCTGACACATCTATCAAATGGATTCCAGACATGCAGGATCAGCTCCCCATACGTCTTCATTGTTCCTTCTGCTTCTTCGCCTTGCATCTCATTCTGAGGAAGGCACTGGATCATCTCACTGACTACAGTCTCTCAGAACTCTCTGCGCTGTGTTTATTTGACATACGTATTGAACTCATTTGCTTCCCCAAACCCCTCTCTTGCTTTGTCGTAGCAAGTTTGCTTTATGAGTCTAATAGTCTCATCTCTCCACTGATGGTGATTATCCAAATATTAAAGTTGTCTGCTTCATGTGATACTGTATTTCCTGTTTTATCTCCCATGCGTTTGTTTCTTAATGTTTGGTGATGCTTGCTTATGTTTGTCTGGACCGGAGATAAGCCACCACTGTCCTGTGGTCACTGTCCTGTGTGGCTGCTTGTCCTGTGGTCACGGGTACCTGGCATTCTGTTTCTCTGAGCTCATTCTCTCTTCTTCTGTTTGGCGTGATGGCTTGAGGAAAGAAACCGACACCAAAATGCCCTGGAAGCTGTTCTCTAGTTGGTGGTCTCAGCAGAGATTTCAGTATTGCCTCACGAAGTGCGCATGAAGGCACAGCTTTAGGGTACCCTGCTCACGTAGTCCTGTGTGTGACTTACACTGTCCTTTTTTATCTAGTTGGCCTTTCCTATTCTCTCCAATAGGTTGATTGCACTTCCTGAGCTTTGTATGGTTATTGGGTTAATTTAGAAAGTGAAAAGGCAACAAAGAAAACCAGAAGGCACTCAAACAATTAGGAGACAAAATTGTTGTGGAAGTCATAAAAAGTAGTATTGCTCCCTTTTTATGGAAAATGCATGCAGAGCTGTGAACAGAGAACGGAAACTATAACTGTTAAACCCATTTAATATCTTAAAAAAGAAGAAGAAAAGTCATGAATTATGTACCAAGGAATTTACAGCAGAAACAATAAGTAAAACTAAAGGGAGTAATTAAGATCAGAACAGAATTAATAACTTAATAATTAGAAACTTGACGAAGCATCTGTTTTGAAGCTCCAGCCATGCATGCTGTGATAAAGTCAATGGGATGAAGGAATCTGCAGCAAGCATGATTTGGAAGAGATTAAATGAGCAAACACCAGCATACAAAGGCAGAACTGGGGGGCCAGAGATGTAGCTTTGGGAGGATTAGACCCAGTTGCTGCAGCTAAGGCTATGCTAATAAGTTGAAAATCTACATGAAGTGAATGACTTTCTGGGAAAACATAAAATGACAAAGAGCTAAAACCTGCACAAAGGCAAATGAAAATACCTTGATTTGGAAAGTTTTCTGGAAGTTCCTAACTTCAACAGACTAAGCTTAATGTTAGAAGTAAGTTCTTTAGGTATTTTTACAGGGCAGATCTCTTTTGTTTCCTTTTATTTAGAAACAATTCCAGATCAAGGAAAAGGATTAAGCACTTTAGGCTTCTTTTAGCTATTGTTTAAGTACATGCACTTATACACACACACACACACACACACACACACACACAGAATGAGAAAAGAGAGAGAGAACATAGGCCTTTTAGATATAAAGGTTTCAAAAAATAAAGATTTAATGCTGAAAGAAAGCTAAAGTAGAATTTTCCTCTTAAGTAGTAATTTACCAAGACAAAATAGTTCATTCTAAAAATGCAAAGATAACTACAAGTTAGAATATGTTATATTTTATTTTTGCTATAGGAAAACTATGAAGAGAAGATATATTCAGACATCCTTTAAGTGGCAGAAAAACAAGTCAGACTTTCAAATTCTGTCAATTAAATGAAACCTTAATAATCCATAATAAAAAGGATATTCTTAGCATACATATAATCTTCCAAACTAAAACCCAATCTATATCATTAGTGTTCAAATACCAGAAATGAACAACATAAGGATGCTTATAAACCCTACAATATAAATCAAGGCCATTCTGGGAATTCTGATATAGCGTTCCTCATAGTTATTTTGATGTAAAACTGTTAATGTTGCATGGAACACGCTTTGGGAATTATTTTAGTCAACTTGGTAAGTCAAGAGATAAAAATTTAAAAGGAACATTTCTAATTATTGGAAATAAGCTAATATTTATGGATGAGAGTAATATAACCACATAACCCAAGAGAGTCTATTGAAGCATGATTAGATGAAGCAGAATCTATAAGAGAGGTGGTTACAAGAAATGTATCAAGAGGGAACCAGCAAAATTGATTAGAAAATATAGTGAAAGAAAAAGGAGCTCATGAACTTAAATGTGTAAAAAAAAACCATTAAGTAGCTTGAAACAAACAAACAAACAAAAAGAACCTAACGCATAATTTCCTTTATTCATAAAAACTCATTTGACTAGAATAGAGATGGTACTAACCCTGAGTAGGAAAACTCCACAATGCCGTAGCTTCAGTTGTATCCAAGCTAATTTGAATTATTTCCAATAAAATTTAAAATATCTTGGCAGTTCATTTCTGAATCTCAACTCTGAGAATAGTGCAGAAACTTAAGAAAAATATGACTTCTGATAATGTGTTTGCTGAGACAAGAATTTGCAATTAGTGAATACTATACAGTAGTATAGACAAGCACGATGCCATTACTACTGACAAGAGAAACTAAAAAGCCCCTGGGCACTGTCATATTTAAAAAAAAAGCAGTCATTGTAAATAGTATTTATTTATTTTTGACAGAGCATGTAATAACCCAGGCTAGCCTTGAGCTTGTTATCTCCCCTCACCCCCAGCCTACAGAGGGCTGGGATGATGAATCCGTAACAACCATGCCTGACAAAGATATGCATTTGTTCTGAGAAATAATCAGAGATGCCCACAAGAAGTATGTACACATTTAGATCTTTAACGACTAATAAAAATTTGAAATGATTTGTTTACTGGCAGGAGACTGGAAGGTTCTGGAAGTCCATATGGTAGTTATGGACGTATTTTAATGACAGGAATGTGTTCACATTTGTGAAAATGAAAACAGTTTAAAAATAGAGCACAGACAGATTGCTAACCCTACCTCCTGCTACTGCACCTTGTGTGGATTGTTTCCTCGCTCCAGCTTAGCCTGTTGTGTTTGATGCTGCTGTTACTTGCCTCGTGACATTTTGTTAAGATCAAAAGAGAGGAAGCAGGTTGAGAGTTGATCCCAATGCCTGGCACATGCTAAGCCTGATAATGTGAGTCAGGGGGAGAGGCTGTAATCTGTGTGTTTAATCAGGAAGAAAATACAGGGGCTTATTAAAGGGGCTTATCGCTGGAGCGGAGGATTTTCTGAGTCAGCATTTGTTTTCCTTCATACTTTTCTGCAGTTTCTACATTTTCTGCAGTGAATCAGGCCTTCGGCAAAGGGAAAGCTTTTTGAAAAGTAAGATAGTTGATGGGGGATGTTTCTGGATAAAAGATAGCAAATGGTGAAATGAAACTGTACTCTGTTTGTTAATATTGACACTAAATGACAGTGCTCCCAGGCCGGTCAACGGGGGACTTAGGCACACTCGGTATCATTTTCCGTACGCATTCACCTGGCTGTATAATGTTCTTGGCTATCCCACTTCACCCAGCGGTGCTCACTTCCTGCGAGTTGGCTG